CTTGAGGTATTCGGCCAATCACAACGCTCTGGATAGCTGGCCAATCAGAGCACACCTTGCTTTTCAGAAGGATGAACTTTGTAAAAATTGATGCGTTTCAGAAAGGCGGGGCCTTGAGGAGAAACAATAATGTACAGTATGTGGAAAATAATGTGTTTTTTTAACTTTAAACCGCATAAACACATTTCATTACACCAAATACACAAAAATAAGATTCTTTTTAGCAGCATCATATGACCCCTTTAAATTCTCTGGCCCTAAGTATATTTATGAATTTTTTTTCTGGTGTTGCTGACAACATGCCTTATTTGCTGTTCACAGAACTGTGGTCATATTGCATTTAGGTGTTAATTGGCTGATTTGCTAATGTCCTTTCATTAATTGCTCATTGATGTGGCAGGTTGGCCCGAATCCTGTTGCGTTTACCAGCGTTGCGGTTGATGAGTTCCAGTATAACTGAAGAGCTGTTTTTTACTGGCCTTATTGGAAATGTACCGATCGACAGTATCATCCCATATATCCTTAAAATGGAGACTGCAGACTACAACAGCCAAATCACAAGTCCCTCTGTGTGATCGCGCTCTGACTGTCATTTAATTTTGACCTTCAGACTGAAGTCATGCAAGTCCCATCATCCCTTGCCTTCACGGTGACTCAAATATATCACAATATATTGAACCGACCAGCAAGCTCTACCTCAAGAGGAGCTGCAACAGTGAAAGCCTTTCAGTATGTGACCGTTACCCTAGAAATATTGTTATAGTTTGCAGAGAGATGCATTATGGGACTTTCAGTTCCAATGACAGGACATTTGCCTCGAAAATTAAACAAAGGCCTTTCTTTTTTTAAACCTTAATTTAAAAACACTTGAGCACTTCATGATGATTCCAATGGAAACAATCCAAGACAAAATGTTGAAATCCCCAAATTCTCCCAATACAGTTTTTGTTTTACTTACGAGGATAATATCTACAGCAATGGTCTTTTCCAGTGGAAGATGTGATTCTTGGAATGTAACCGTTGACATCAAGACAGTTTGCTTCTGAATCGCTACTCATTCATTTTTCTCATTGATAACGCAGTTATTGAGTAGAATGCAAATTTTCTGTGTCCCACAGACTTTGTACTGTCACTTCTGTCGTCATGACAATCAGCCTTCTCCTCAATATCATGTTTTCCCTTCAAAATCATGTATTTATTTAATTGAGTCTAACTCTATAGTTCAATATAAATGTAGATAATCTGATTTGCTTGGTTTCAAAAACCATCTGTTATTAAATGATATGTAGGAAGTATTTGATCTGTATCTTTATAGCATTTGACTGCTGCTGCAAAATCGAAATTTAAAGACCCCTGCTGAAAACCATTTTGAAATTGGACATTGCATTGCCATGGAAATGGTACTCTAAAAGGGGGCTTCTCCCTTTCAAGTGTCATATTACAAAATCTGGTTGTTATTTTGTGATAGAAGTAATATTGTGACAGAAATATATAAATTTTTGACTGGAAAATGCATAAAAAAATTCAGTGGAGTTTGGGTGTCACCCGGTGGCTATTTTTGTCACAGCGCCTACACAAAATCTCACAGAAACCTCAACTAATGTGACATCAATTTTAAATTTGGAACAATTTACTTAGACATATGGCTTTAATTTTATAGCAATTTTATGTTTTTTAAAAGTAAAAAAAAAAAAAGGTTGTCAAAGCTAACATACTAACCCTATAGTCCCTATTAAGTTGGCAAATGTGCCGTCATGACAATCAGCCTTCTCCTCAATATCATGTTTTCCCTTCAAAATCATGTATTTATTTAATTGAGTCTAACTCTATAGTTCAATATAAATGTAGATAATCTGATTTGCTTGGTTTCAAAAACCATCTGTTATTAAATGATATGTAGGAAGTATTTGATCTGTATCTTTATAGCATTTGACTGCTGCTGCAATGTACAAAAGGTGTCATTTTCAGATGTAATATATCCACAATCGTGATGGTTTAATGCACTTAGATTACTAATTTGCTTTTTATTTGCAGATTTGTGCACAGATCGTCCTAGTTTCTAAGTGTTTCTAATGTTGTTTTCATTTCAAAAACTACAAAATGTCTAATTTTGTCCTAATTGTAAGAAAAGTATTGACATGCACTTATTTATATGAATTTTCCCCCCAAAAAAATTTTCACCTAGACTGTATTTATTTGGGTTTAAAATTAGTAGTTCAGGGAAAAAAAAGTAAATATACTTGAGCTTCCAGACTACAGTATTGGTTAGCCACATTGCTTTTTATGTCCCAACCAACTATAATAAGATAAACCACAAAACACCAGAAGCATGCTCTCTAATTAAATTTCAATAAGATTTTTGTTTGCAATCACCACCAATTTATGCAGCAGGAGCATTTCTAAACATGTTTGAATGTAAGTGAATTTCACCAATTTCTTGTGAATCAAGTAAAAAAAAAGTTTCAATGACTTTTACCATTGTTACATACTTTACTGTAAAGCGATGGCTGTTGAATAGATGTCCATTGGCAAATATGTTATATTTGAGAGAATATTCACTTCTACTTGCAAATTAACTTACAAACATTGACATCAACCTTAATGTCAAAATTATTCTTTATAGAATTTGCTTAAACCCTGCTTTACAGTTTGAACCTGTTACAGATGAGGTTTCTGTTTCCCAGAAATGCTTTATTGTGTAAGGTTTATTGTTGTTTTAGTATTGGTTCAGAAGTCATCTACTTAATCTCAGTGATTTTGTCTAAAAATCCTAGTTGTTGTTTCAAAAATACGCCCCCCACTAACTGTTTTATATGGTTTTAGCACCGGCAGGCAGTTATTTTAAACAAAATTGTGTACGTATTTAAAAATGCCTAATGTTTTTGATTTCAGTCTGTCAGTGACTGGTTTATAGGTGTTGTAATGCCATGCTGTAATATTAGTCATCTGTTTTCATCCGTCTGTGAGACAAGAAAGCTGTGCATGTGCTAGCTTATAAATTGTATTAAATTCTATACTGATGTGGAGTTTCAATATTGTGGCGTGAAAAAAAAAAAAAAAAAAAACAGAGACAAAAAATGAGGTACAACAATGCTACTTTGCTTCATAAACGCAATCTGCAACATTAAAGGGATAGTTCTCCCAAAAATGAAAATTCTGTCATACTCACCCTCAAGTGTTCCAAACCCGTAAGACCGCCGTTCATCTTCGGAACACAAATTAAGATATTCTTGATGAAATCTGAGAGCTTTCTGACCCTCCACTGCAACGCCACTACCATGTTCAAGGCCCAGAAATGTAGTAAGGACATCGTTAAAATAGTCCATGAGACATCAGTGGTTCAACCGTAATTTTATGAAGCTGCAAGAATACTTTTTGTGTGCAAAGAAAAAAAAAATCTCTTTATTCAACAGTTTCTTCTCTTCCGTGTCAGTCTCTGCCGCGTGTTCATGAGAGTACTGCGACGCTGATGCTAGAAAAGAGTATGTGACAAAAGAAGTATGTCTGAATTCACAGTACTCATAAAAGTTCCCGGATGACCTACTACTTCCAGCGAGATTTTGAAGTGTGCATATGATGGACACCATGAGGCCACGGGAGAGGATTTGTGATTGGAAGTGAAGCGACGTAACTGATGCTAGTAGCCAGGGTCGTTCATACAACATCAGTCAATGAGACCTGAGTTTCAGAAGCTTCAAAAGCACCAACAAATAAAGTCATGAATCTTCTTAAAGTCAGGCTCCATTGACTGATATTGTATGAACAGAAACCAGCAGAACCAACTTGACCAAAATCACCTTTTGTGTTCAGAAAAAAAACTGATTGAACAATGTGGAGGCGAGTAAATTATGACTGAATTTATATGTTTGGATGAACTAACCCTTTAAACCCCCCAAATAGAAACTGAAATAGAAAGACTTTTTGGAGATATGAAGGATGCAGTACTACTCTATAGGTACTCAAGATTAACATGAGAAACTGTGTGTGTTATGCCCCCTTTAAGTTTTTTCAAGTTTGTAGGTGTCCAGGTACAGAAACCGAATAATCAAATGTAAAATAGCACTGTATAGTCTTCACTGTAAAAATTAAATATACAGTCAAACCAAAAATTATTCAGACACCTTCAACATTTCTCACATTATCACAGTTTATTTGCTATAGTTTAGAAAATGGTAATAAAATATGACAAGAACTCAGAGTTAAACTGTCAGAACAAATTCATCTTGATAATGTCAGATAACTTTGATTGAAATGGATTACAATCAACCAAAAATTCAGACAACTGTTAGTATAACAATATTTACACAACTTTCAATACTTTGTTGACCAATTACCAAGCAATGCTTAATTTTGTTCAGTCTGTGGTGTAAAAAGGTTGTATTAGCAATTAAAGAAAAAACACTTAAAGGAGGCATATTATGCCCCTTTTTACAATATGTAATATAAGTCTCTGGTGTTCCCAGAATGTGTCTGTGAAGTTTCAGCTCAAAATACTCCACAGATCATTTATTATATCATTTTGAAAATGCCTATTTTGAGTGGAAGCAGAAACACACTGACTGCGTCCGAAATGGCATACTTCCCTACTATATAGTAGGGGAAAAGCAGAAGGCGAGCGAATAAGTATGTCCGAATCCTTAGTGTATTCATAAAAGAGTAGGCGAGAATTACCTGGGTGACGTACTAATTCTTGCGAGATTCGGACGTGCGTCTACTTAAAGTGCGTCCGAATATGCCTACTTACCTACTATATAGTAGGAGAAAAGAGTATGTGAAGAAAGAAGTACGTTCGAAACCTCGGTATTCATAAAAGAGTAGGTGAGAAATCCCCGGATGTCGTACTGCTTCAGCCCAGATTCTGAAG